GTTCTCAAGGTGAATTTTTTGTTAAAACTTTTTAAAAAGTGTTCGTTGAAATGTGAAGCGAAATCGAGTAATTTAATTTATGTTGTGTTACTATTTTCTTTCGATATAGGAATGGGATTGTGCGAAGCGGACAGCGTAGAGTCTTTGGGCTCGCATCGGGCAAGTTTGACTCACGCTCGTTTGTTGATACATCAAAGAGACTCGACGGGATCCCCAGCCCCACCACGGCTCAACAGAAGCAATTCCATTAGGTAATAACGTAATCGAATGTGGTTGATATAACATTCATCTCATCACTTTTCACACAGATCTTTTTTAATAATAATAATAATAATAATAATAATAATAATAATAATAATAATAATGTCAAATTTTTAGAAATCATTTGCATATATTATCCATATGTATTAGATGCATGATTTTAGAGGATGCAAAATTTTTCACCGCATCTCTTGAAAACGATCAGTTTTTCAGCTTTTTTTTCCCCCTCTCCCCATTCTTTTTTTTTTCTCTCTCTTCTTTTTAATAATATTAACCACAACCACGACCAGGTGTCGCCCGTTTACGGTGAAATAACGCAGATCATTTGATACCGTTTTAGCCATCTGCGGGACAGGACATTCCCAAGGTAGTGCGAAAATCTAGAATACACGAATTCGTCGAGCCTGTTTTCCATGCATAAGTATTGAAAGAACGAAACCTTCTGGGGATTATTACAACCCCACACGTACACACGAGTGACGATTTATATTATGCGCACTGACAAAACAAACAAACAAACACACACACATACGTACACACACACAGAACACACACGTACGTGTCCATGTACATTTACGTTTACACGAGTTCTTTATATATTTGTACCGTTAAATTCGATAGATTTATGATTATAATTTATTTGGTTAAATCAATTTCGTTTTATTTATATGTGTAATTAAGTGTTTTGTGACCGTTCTACGCTTCTTGCTCAAATGCATGTTAAAGCTTATTTAATTAAATCTTGCGCTCGTAACGTAACAACGAAAGGAAACGATTCGATTCTTTTTTTGTTCTTCTCGTAAAAGCGATAGTCTTTTCGATTCGTTTTCCTTCCGTCGTATCGTTCCACGATCGAACGAATGTATACGCGATCGAAAGAAGAATGCGAAACGAAAAGAAAGAATTTATCTTTCGATCGGAAGCATGCTAGCCTTATAAATTAACTACGTTATACGTTCGGTCGGTCACACGCGTTCGCAATCAAACGTCCAAAGTAAACTGACGACGAACTTGGATGCGAAGAACTCTCGAATCGATCGAAATATTTCGAGTTCGATTAAACTCGACTTGTGGTTATGATGAAATGCGATGATTTCTTCGCATCTAAAAGAATTCCCTTTCGCGAGGACCACACACGCGTACATCCGTGCACGCAATTGTATTCGAGAATATTTATCTTTTTCCATCCATACCGACCGAGTCGATTTCTGAATACAATTCAAGCGTAATAACACGAATATATATATATATGTTATTCTATCATTTAAAAAGATATATTCGGACGTAATGTACGCGCGACAAACGATGTTTTTTTTTTCTTTTTTTATTTTTTTCATATATATATATATAAAACGAGAACAAGATCACGTACAAGAAAATTTACGAAAAGAACGTTTTATATTTTTTAAACATTCGGATATCTTGACGCGCGCTTTTTAACTCTTCGAAGATACAAACAGTTCGTCGTTCGGATATCGAAATGATATCGTTTGATCGAATATATCGATCAATTTACTTGAATCGAATCGAATCGAATTTATAGAACTTTTTGCCCATCTTCGAAGACATTTATCACGTATAATATCACATAAGCAAGTTAGTCAGCGTTCTAGCAGCGATTCAGATGGTTAAACCTCTGTTTTCGCAGATCCACGAAAAGTGAAAAAATGTATCCGTCAATGTTAGTTAGAGGAAGTGGTGCCTCATCCTCCGTTGGCGAGGAGGTCGGAGTCGGGATAGGGATGAGCGTAGGCGTTGAACCGTATTACAGCGTTCCCGTAGGATCTACCGGGTGTACCGGCCAGCACTGGTCTCAACCGACCTCTCCAACGCCCACGCACACTTCTCGCCAACCGCCCAATCTTTACCAACACGTGCACAAGGATGATGATAGTAAGTTTCCGTTTTAAATAGATAATCTTTTTTTTTTCTTTCTTTCTTTTTAAACATTCGTTCATTCGTTCATTCGTTCATTCGTTCATTCGTTCATTCGTTCATTCGTTCATTCGT